ACTAGAAATAAAACTACTCTAACATAATAAATAAAAATAAAAAGATAAAAGAGAGATTAATTATCTCCCTCGTGTATGGGTGCGGCCTCCCTCCGCGATTGATCGGATTCCTCGCGTCTGCTCTGTTATTTTCCGTACGCCTTTCTTTTCTGCTCGCGTGATGTCTAACGGCTCTCTGTATGCGTATTGCGTGGCCTCTGTTATGTATGTATGGCCGCTGCTTTATGTTGTGCGTATATCTCTTCTTAAATAATGATTGGTGGCTAACAAATAATTTATTTCCTTGTTTAAGCTCTCTGCCAATAATTCAACTTCATCCTTGTCACCTTGGGCTGCGTGCCATACCTCACAAATAAATCCACCGATTTTTTGTTGCGTGACTCAATAATGGGCTGCCTATGTTCTCCTCTATCCATGGCCCAAGTAATTCTCCTCCTCTAATTAATGTTTAGCCCAAAGCACCTTGCAGCTCTCCAAATCAGTATCCTCCACATAAATTTAGCAATTCTATGGCCCAATAGCTTATCGACTTTGATTCGCCATCCACAAAAATACGCCAATATACTGAAATTAAATCATAAAAATATCATAGTACTTAAATCCACCCAAATAATAAATAGGTCGAAAAACATATAAGTGCGGTAAAATCAAGCATATAAAAATACGCTAATAAATATATAAAATACACATTTTTTCCGACCAATCACTGACATCAAATTTAGCAACATAACTCGCCAATAAGCGTCATTAATAAGCGTCGCCAAATGCAATTTTTCTTGTAGTTAATGTACCGTATGGTTAGCTAATCAATGCAAAGTCCGGCTATGTCCACGCAATGTCTCCCGCTCAGAAATGCTCATTTTTCTACCTTCTATTAGAGTTCAACCAATCATAATTATTTGCAAACATAGTTTCATCCGGCTTGTGAAAGTTCGAAATCAACTCGTTTGTTTTGTACTTATACAAACCGGAAACAGGTAAATGAGCTTGTTCGTGAACAACTTGTCTTTAAATTTTACGTTTTAATCGTGAGTTTGGAATGAAATAATAGGGCGCCCGAACTTGTCCGCAGGCAGATATTTCTTGTTCGCGAACAACTTATATAAAGTTTTAGATTTATTAAACGAGCTCATCCTTTGTCTCGTTTATTAAACGAACTACTTAGCTCTGCAAGATTCGAACAATACTCCTACCTTCAACCAATCAATATCACGTGCCTCCCTATACAAGAGTTAAGGTTTAAGAACCAATTGCCAGTATTGAATTAAACTGCAAATGGATCTACATAGTGTAATTTTTTTTTATTTTTTTTTTCTATTTTTTTGTACAAAAATGATTCTCTATAGTGTAACATGAATTGGTTCCTAGTTTTACTTTCTTATACATGGACTGAATTTTTCATTTTTCCTTCTAAAGAACTCACATAACTTTCATCGATAAGCAGCCTTTATTCTTGATACCGACGAGCATACATAGATCAAACAGACAAACGAACCTGAATATATGTCCTTTTAGCCCTCCACTTTTCAAAAAATCGAGAAATTCGACTACTGAAAAAACTCTATCTCATGATGCAAAATCAAGCACATTCATCCGTTCCAACAGCTCCTCGTAAACTCTCAACGAGCTTCCACTGAAAGCCTCCATTGACTCGAGTACATTCTGCAAACTCGACGACTTTATTACCATCTCTTTCTCTATTTCCCGATCTTCCCTTTCGAGTCTCTTAATTTTCCCACGCATGGAGTCGAGTGCTTCCTTCTCCGAAATTCGGTCGAGCATTTTTGACCAGTGATGAGAAATAACGAAGATTCAAGGGGTGTTCGGGATTTGTTCGGGACCATAAAGAATATATTTTGTGAGCCAGCTACTCAATGATCGAGCGAAACCCTTTTGCACCTCTACCCAACAGGAAAACTCGAGTGTCCAACAAACGAGGTCATTTGGCTACTATCTGCTGCGCAACTCTTGAACATTTTCCCTTCATTCTCTCTCAATTGTGTATGATATACTAATCCTAACAAAAATATAGCTTCGAACAAAATAGTACACTACTGTACAAACACATAACAGGCATGCAATAATTAAGCAATAATTAAGCAAATAAAGAAAACATGAATTTATCCTCTTTATATAGAGTAATGTACCCTTCCTCACTACTTCTTGTGAGGCGCAAACAAAGTTTGCTTTATGTAATACTATTATTATATTATGTAGAACGTGAATACAAAATTGGGAAGAACGAGATGCTCTCTCGATAGAAATCACAAATCAGATATAAATTCTCATTAAAACTGCGTTCCTTCTGTTTCCCAGGCAGATAAAATAAACAAGAGTCTTTATCTTGCCTAACAAGTGCAAGATTATTACTTCCTACCAATATAAATTAACTAAATAAAAAAAATAATTAAAAATACGAAAAAGGGAAATTAATAATAACTAAATAAGCTAAAGTCGGAGGCGATCGTATTTATTCAAATATGCTATGGCAGTCTCGACTCCATCAGTAACCCTTTTGCCTTTTTTTTCCCATTTTGGATCATCTCTCCAGGTTTAAATATAAAAACGATGCTTCATGAATATGGAATCAGATCATACAAGGGGTTGGTGATACGCACATATATCTTCTGATGGATTTTGCTGTAATTTGGATGAAACTGGAAAACAATCTTAGTGGCAACTTCCTCCATAACCTCGAGAACCGACTGAGGAGCATCTGCAAGCCAGATTCCAATGTTCGGGTGGGTAAAGAGAAATTGCATGTAATCAATCTCCAGAATGCACTTGTTAACTGCAGAGGTAAAAATGAATTAAGTTAATTCACAACTGAAAAAAGTCATAGTGGGATCACTGGCTGGATGAAACCAAACTCAAACAACCTACTAAATTCACCCATATTAGACTGTGAAAATAACATTTAAAATTTTCCAGGAGGAAGTTTGTTACCCGCCACCATTTCATTTATCTGCCTTAGGTACTCAAAGTCTCCATGAACCAATTTTGGATTCACATAAGTAAGCAAGAACTCCTTGAACTTCTTGGCAATGAAACGCCTCACGTCATCTCTCGTAACCCACTCTGTGAGGGTTCCTTGAACCCTATACATCTTAAACTCACCTTCCTCATTCTCTTCATCCTATAGAGATAGCAGCACCTTTTATCAGGACATTCCTAATAATGCTTCTCGCATTCAGAATAGATTAAGCCCTATATAACTGAAATACGTACATCGTCCAGATCAGTCATGGATACATCATCTCTGAAGTTCACTCCTTGTGATCTACCAGGTGAACTGGGTATCCCATCAGTATCATCCATGCTGGTTGGAGTATTTGGCTGCTTGTCACCTGTAGTTATTATCGGCAGCCTGTCTTCATCGTCATTGGTGTCTGAAATTAAGTATCTTGGTCATTTAACTTGCAGTTCACAATTCACATAATAATATCTTAAGACAAAATCAAAGACTATCAATATTGTTTGCGCAGTTACAGCATCATTTTTATTAGATTGAGTCAGCAATTTCCAATTTGGTTGCCGGTAAAATTTCATTTTTGGTCCATTATATTGGCCATTTTCTAGAAATGGTCCACTAATTTGGCGAATATCAAACTTGATACAATAAAATTCATCATTTTTGGTCCACTAATCACTAGGGCTGGATAACGAGCCTACGTGGCGGACATCAAACTTGTCCACATATTCGCCCGATAAAACGCCACGTAGGCTTATGAACTAAAAATAATGAATTTTGCAACTTATTGTATCAAGTTTGATGTCTGCCAAATTAGTGGACCATTTCTGGAATATGGCAAATATAATGGACCAAAAATGAAATTTTGCAATATATCTCATGGGTAGACTCGGATAGCAAACATACCTAATTTCAAACCTCATTCTTATATCACCATGTGTTGCAGTTTTTTCTTGTGATGTGATCAGAACAACAAACACTAGGGTCAATGGTCATGCAGCGAAACAATTTATCCAACTAGAGCAGTACTTAAGAATCTATACATACAGTAAAAGTATACATTTTTTCAGCAAAAAACCACTGAATAAATCGACATAATTAAATGAAAAAGAGGACCACCTTGGTGAGAACGAGAAGGTTGTCTTGCATCGAGTTCGATCTCAGCAGCTCTGCGGTTAGCCATAATCTGGTCCAAATCCCTATCATCCTCCATGGTTTCGTACTGGTCCTGCTTTCCCATCCTCCGGAAATCGCTGCAATCAACGCACCATGAATAGTGTGGGAAATAAAATAGCAATCAATTAATTACAGAGCAGAAAATAAGATGAAACGCCGACTTCATGAATTGGTCGTTGAAGAGGTCCTCTCCTTCGTCATCTTCTTCGCCGTCGTCGTCCGTGTAATTTTGACTGGAATTCATCGGCAGCTTGTCTGAACTGAATGCAGCGGACGCAGGGTTCTCGTTCGCTGCCCCGGCGCCGGATCTGGGTGATTCATCGCCGTTGCTCGCCATTGTCACTCGCAAGGTCTCTGGTCACTGCGTGCTCTGTGCGTGAGAGGGCCAGACCACCATCAATACCTCTCTTATACCACCCAAAATCTGTAACTATATAATGTGCATGATTTTGGGGATAAATTTTTTCGTCTATGAGAGGTGATAATATAAAATATATTCAGCATAAATTGTTATATTACTTTATTAATCTCACATGTCATTTTATAATTTTTTTATTGCTATATATTCATTTTAAGTTTTATTATAGAAAGAACAATCGACCACTAATTGCTTGATATTTTTGAAGTTGATTTTTTTTGGATAAAAATCTCATTAATTTTCATCTAAGGAAACAATTGATTTACCAAAACAAATCATCAATAAGTGTGTGATAATTTTAAAATTACCTAGATCTCTTTATTTTTATCCTATAATTAGCGCACTCATCAATTTTTTAGAAAAAAATTGTAGGAGGGTGTATTCAATTTCAACTTTTAGAGACTTTTTATGACTTTTAAAATTCGTGTATTCAATTAAAACTTTTAAAGACTTCTGAAAAGTTTACCTGTATTCAATTGAGACTTTTAATGACTTTTAATAAGTCTCTAAAAGTCTCAGGGTATTCAATTAAAACATTGTGAGAGTCTTTATAAGTCACCCAATATTCAAAACAGAAAGACTTTGTGAGAGTTTTTAAATTTTGAGACTTTTAGAGACTTTGTAACAAAATTACAAAGGAAAAGTTTCAATAGAAATCTCATCAATATTGATGAGATTTTGCTGGACTTATGTGACTCTTTTCACGCTCTCTTTCTTTTTTTCTTTTTTCTTTCTAACACGACTTTGTATCTCATATCATTTTCATGCTCTATTATTTATTTATTTATTTTGATACCTTGTGTAATTTTTATTTTCATTACGGAATGTCATCTTTTTATTTTATATATTTTTTATTATGCTTATTTTATGTGTGTATACCTTTATTATCTCATTTTGCTATCTTGTGAATATAACTTTTCAAAGGTTAATGCTTCCATAGTTGCACTTGTAAATAATTTATTTGTTTTTTCTTCTTATTTATAAATGTTTATTTCAAAATATTAAAAAATTATTTTATTTTCAAATAGTTTATTTGTTAATATTGAAATGTTTTGAACATTATTGATAAATTTATAAGATACAGTTACTGTTTTTCGGCAATGTTTGTATCTTGTAAAAATATATCCTAATAATACTTTTCTAATATAACTGTTGTAATATAGATTGTCAATATGTGAGATAGACAAGATAGACAAAGAGAGAAAGTAGTAAAAGAGAAAAAGAGAGAAAGAGATACGCCGTTAAAAACCCCTCATCTTATTCATTCACTTGAGCCCTATATATAAGGGAATACAATATACATGACTAAAGACCTAATGGGCTCCTGGCCCATACCTACAAATCTTATATCTAGGTAATGTCCATAAATTAATATTTACAACACTCCCCCTTGGACATTACCGCATCATGTCTATGCCTCGTTAAAAACCTCACTAAGTAAAACCCAATAAAAAAAACTTAGTCAAGGGA